CCTCGCCTAGATCATTATTTGATATATCAATGCTCACTAAAGACTTATTTTTTATGATTAATTGCATAAATAGCTTTGTGATGGACTGACAAATTGAACAGCCACTGATGTCTAGTGTCTCCACGGGTAAGTCACACAAAAGTGAAAATATTGCGGCAACACCATCACTCTGTATAGGATTCATGCGTAGAATTAGCTTGCGCAATGAGACTCCTTTCATGGTACGACTGAGTACGTAAGCGCCTTCGGAAGCTGTTTGGAAATTTTTTTTTTATAATTTTGTGTAGTTAAAAAAAAGAAAGTTAGATTTGATTTTATGGAGACACCCACTTATTCGATTATCAGTTAAATCAAGTACTTTCAGTATGTTAAATGATTCCTTATTGCATGCGCTCAGAAATCCTTTAATCCCCGTATCGCGCATTGAGCAATGTATTATAGACAAAGAGGTAAGTTTGTGACAACCCTTGTCCAAAGCACGCGCCAAAAATGGTAGTTGATAAGGTTCGAGCTTAGAGCTATGAAGGCTGACAACAGACATAACGATAGTGATTAAAAATCCTGCAAAATATATACATACAGGGTGCGCTAACACTGTCGGTCAATTTGATGTGAGGAGATGAGTGTTGACAAATTTAGCACTAGTTTAAGGTTGCGACTTCAAAACATTGTACTGCAACTTTTCATAAATAAGAAAAGAACGATAACTTCGGTTGCACCATAGACATAATACCCTTGACAAATACAAAATATTCCTCAAATGAATATGATTACGATCATTTAGTTTGTATGACAGTTATGTTATAGTGATATGATCGGAGATTGAGCTATTGCCTTCTCATCAAATGAAACAATTTTTTGTATGATAGTTTTAAGCTATGTGTGTAAAATTTCCGATCGATATCTCAAAAACTGACTGGTTTTTGTATATGAAGACATACTTACAGATTAAGCAAAATGGACTCAGTTCGCCATGCTGATATTATATATATGGTATACATAAGATATATATTCACGTTTCCATCTGAGTGTTACAAACATTGTGGCAAACTTAATATACCCTATTCAGGATACAAAAATGTAACTGAAAACCACGATATAAACACAAATATAATTCTTGAATGTCCAAATGGAAGATTTGGTCTTGGGTATTATTAGTTTCAGCTGGTTACAAATTCCCATAGAGTTATGATTTGTCGTCGGTATAAAGTTTTCGTGAAGAGTGAAAGTTTACCGATTTGATATGATTAAACCAATGACGATTTAAGCACTTAAAGCGATCCATTTTTGAGATGGAGTCAAAGAGTTTACTCAAGGTTCTGAAAACATTCCGCTGAACATGTAGACCTTATATTTTTTGCAGAGAAAAATGTCTGGCCATAGAATTTCCAAATATGGTGAATTTACTTGATTACCCCGATTTTCCTTACGGACGTACTAACCTAATAGGTGGCACACCCTGTATGATGCCTAAACTACAATGTTAAAGTAATACTTACCAGAATGTCACTAACTCATGACACTGACTCAAACCACGTGACAGAGTTAATATGTCTTTCTGTGAAAGCGTATTGCTACCCAGACAAAAGTGACTGCCCACCGTCTTGGTGGCGTAAGTCAAGCGTAGCGTTTGCAATTCGGGCAAGTTGCTCAATATGAAATCGAGTGGAATGTGATCTGTATTGTTAAGACAAAAACAAGACGTTACACACTAAATAGTATTAATACACTTGGCATTTGTCAGCTTTCAACAGCGACAACTTTACCCTATCCGGCCTGATGCTTGCCAGCCGTCCCACTTACCATTACGTCCATCGGCGGCCGGTTTCAAATATTTTATCTCCATTTGATTTACATATGGTGCACAAATATTCAATATCGCCTGTACTTGCTCCCGTTCGTAGTCGCACGTCTCCACGCGCTCGATGAACTCCTGCAGATGTCGCTGCATGTAGATGCTAATCCAGGGTTGCGGCTGTGACAGGACATTCGAATGGTGGTGTGGCTTCCAGCGTTGCTGACAACAACGGCGCCAAAAGAAATCGTCACGTATGCGTTCGCTGAGCAACTTAAGCGGCAACTGTGTATCCAGGTGGGCAAGTATGTAGTTGCGATCCTCCTGTCGCGTTAACGCCTCGAAGATGGGATTGTCTGGCAGGAAGTGTAGTTATGTATGTACGCACGCATATAAGCGATATATTATTTGGATTTAAATATGCTACTTGTGTTCATAATGAAATTATTACCATTCCAATTGGCAATGATGACATCGAGCGCCAAATGACGCAGCGATTCCGGTTGATTTGGCTGCTGCTGTTGCCTGCCACCGTCGTTATCTCTTGTATGGTGGCCAGCGCTGATATCCAGGGATTTGTCATGCAGTCGCGGTAGTATCACATCGCCCGCACTGAAGTTAGCTTTAAATGCGTTCAGAGAGATTGTGCAGGGAAATTCGACATATGAAAAATTCATTATTTGGTTTTATGTTAATTGAAAAATTGTTTTTACTCAACGTGTTGGATTAAAATACGTTGAAAGTATTTGTTTATGCTTGGCAAATAAACAGTTTGAAGTGCCAAGAGAGAGCATGTATATCACTAAGGCAACACGAAAAGCTTTAGAGTTGCCTCGACGACTGTGGAAATAGAATTAACAAGAAAAAACTTTAACTTCAACTGCGCCTTTTGCATCCCTGGGAAATCGTTTTGCTAGTGCTTTCTAGACACTTTTTTGAATAAATAAGCTAAAAGTCGAATTGAGGTTACTTAACAAGGAATAAAAGCTTTTATGAATGTGTCTTCTCGAGGATTGTTGTCCCACTATGTTGACATGACTTGATTCAGTAAGTTAGCGATGCTAGCGGTAGCATAGTACCTACGCTCCAAACGGCGTTAAAGGGAATTCTATTCCATCAACTTGAATAGTAGCTAAATGTCGGACAGCAATTTGCTATGAGGTTATATCATTGTCTTAGAAAATTGACTAGAACAAATTTCGTAAAGATATTTTATCAAATAAAACTGTTTTATATACAAGGACATCATTTTGGATGCTCAACCTACCTGACAATTTTTTTGGAAGATTGCCAATTTTGTGAAGATAATTCGTCAAATAAAATTTTTTCCATGCAATATCTTTATTACTCTGCGGGAATAACTTTTTCTAAAGAAACCAAATTCTTAAATTTATTTCTGAGCAAACGTCATTTAAAATTGTTACCGGCTAATCGTGCCCAATGTGGGGAGTTCGAATTCTTTACATTCAAATACACGTACTTACATACAAGTAGTTAGACAAATGTATGTGTGTGGGTTGTTCTTGCCATAGCAGTGTGCTCAAATTGGCCTCTGCGCCATAATATGCTTACGCAACGGATACGTTAAGTGCCATAAAAATAATTCAAAATAAATTGCTTTGCATAAAAATTGTAAGCACATGCAAAAAATGACTAAACCAACAACAAAAACATTGACAATGTAAGTTATAATAAAAAGTCATAGAAGAAATAATGGAATTTGCTGTGGTTCTTGCAGCGCAAGCAAGTTAGTCCTGCGCTGGTATATACCGTTATGAAATATGTGTATTATAGAACACCTCAGCTATTTTCGGTTATGCCCTTTTCCAGAACTATGTGCCTCATAAGGTGTATAATGTGGTAATAATAATGCACATCATGAAAATTCATCGGCGTTATTAATTTTATGCGAAGGATTTCAATGTCATTGCTGCTGCTTGAGTTGGCTGCCCGACACGACAACGTAATTGTAATATTATTCTGCTGCTGAATATAACATAAAAAGGCGCATAATTTATTGCTCGGCGGTTGGCAGATGAGTTTGATTATATTGTCGCTGTTAAGCCATGAAGAATTGCTCATCACTTTAAGGTGTGCAAAATAAACACACTAAGCCATAAAAGTAGTGGTTGTTATTGACTTTTACGCTCGTTCAATGGCAACTTAATCGCACAAAATTTCGTGTTTGTCATGTCAGCTGGCATAATCTCAGCAATAAGCCAACACACCTTTTCGGATTTCGGTGTGCTTTTATTTGTAATTTCTCTCGGAATAACGATGAAAGCCAGTGGTGGTATTTACAGCTCAATAAGGTATACAAAAGCTCCAAATATTTACAGTCTAAGACTCTCGTTGCTAATTTATACACTTTAAAGTAGAATATGTGGCCTCTGAATAGAATCCGAAAGCTAAATAAGTTTCCTTTATTGAAATTTAGGCTTAAAAGCGCTGCCACAAAAACGCCCCTCTTGGCGGCTTTAAGCATTGCTTTTTTTACTTTTTGTGAACTGCTTATTGCCGCTCGTTGTACTTATGCAAATTTCTTGCCTTTATACTTTTCTTTGGTGGCAGATAATCGCAGCTTTATGTCATGTAATTATGGTCATAATCAACTTGTCGTGTCGGACAATTTTCTTTGACGGTTATCTTTGGCGGAAACACTGAACTTTGGTCGCTTATTTTTATGCGCTTCTCTCTTATCCATGACAAGTCTAAACGTTTATTGGTGTGTAAATTGCTTTGTTATGGTAATTTTTTCTCAATTGATAGTCCTCAAGGAGATTACGCTATATAGTATAAGTAATTTACATACACACGCATATTAGCGCTATGCTTTACGATCGTACCTAGGTTTTTCAGCAATTTATATTTAATGTGTCCATCGATTGTTGGCACATTCACCGTGGACGTTGTACCAAGGCGTATAAGGCGAGAGAACGCTAATATAAATATCCCAGAAATGGTAGGACGACCCGCATCAGGCGAGTTTTTATAATTTCACGAGCCGAACTGTATAAATTAGGACTAATAGACTTATATGTTCAGTAATTACACTGTAAAGATATTTCTGCAACCTTAACCTCTGAATTTTCGAAAAAAATGTAAACAGTCCAAATGTATAGAAAATTTTATAAAATTGTTAAAATATATTTTTAATATTTACTTAAATGGAATTTAAATTAATATAAAAATATGTGGTTAAAAATGTATTAACAGACCTAAGTAATAAATCTGTTTGTACATTTTATAAAAAAATTAAAATATACAACAAATTTCTAAACATAAAGTCACTAACTCCTACTCTCCTAAATTTGTTAATCTAAAAGTGATGAGTAAATTTTAAGCCGCCAGAGAATCTTTTTTTGCCTGCAAGCGGCCCATCCACATGGTACATCGCACTGCCAGTTAAATGCAAAGTGTTGGTATTATCAGCTGAGCTCCAGATACTAGCTTTTGCTTGTGCATCAAGGCTGTAAGCATTGAATGACCCTACTTTAGAGAAGGCCAAATCGACGTTATAACCATGCGCATGCTTATAAGTAACACCACAACTTTTACGAATTAATTTCGTGCGATCGTCGGGTTTTACGAACGAAGTTCTTGATTCCAATCTCAACAAGTGTGTGCCATCATTGAATAACTCCCAACCAAACTCTAAAGATAGAATAGTGGCAAATTTGATAACTCTCAATAACGTCACTGACCAATTGGCGCGTTCCCTAAAGTGTCATAATTGATGAATTTATTTTATATAATATTGAGTACCTACTTTTTCAATTCGGCAAATATGCCAACCTTCCCAGGCGCACCAGATGTACTGCCAGTCATGAAAACACCAGTCGTAGTTTTGCAATTTTGGTCACCAAAAGTTTTTGCCGTTTGTACGTGGATCTCTTGATGAAGTAGGAGGCTTACTGATCTCATACCTCTAATATCAATATTATTGCCCATATTTGCAAATATTTATATAATTTTTTAGAAATACTCGCTAATTGGCTCAACTTTTATTACAAGTTATTGTTGGACTTGCTTTCTTTGGTGCTTTCAATAGTTTGGTATTACATCTGCTGCTTTCTTTGTCTTTTTTTCATTTCTCTTTTGATTGCTTATAAGCAGTGAATATGGCAATAAAAAATTAAGGTAAAGCAAAACGGAAAAGGTAAATAATGGAAATGTAATAAGAACCATATCTATTTATTAGAACATTTTTGTAGGCTGGCTTTATTTTTATTTTTCTTTATGTCTCTCTTTGCTGATCTGTTTCTACAAAGTACTCTTGACATTCTTTGTGCTGCTGCTTCACTCTGCTATGGTGTGATTTATCATGGCGCCGTGGCTTAGTTGGTTAAAGCGCCTGTCTAGTAAACAGGAGATCGTGAGTTCGAATCTCGCCGGGGCCTTCCTAGATCTTAGTAGGTAATAGGGTATATTTTTGCCATTTTGTGATTGTTGATACTGCGTGAGTCGCACTAAGCTGGGCTAACCAATTTCGCTTTACTCGCAGCGCAGTGAGAGTGTCGGAGAATGCTATCACTCTATTTCGGTATAAATTAGAACCGACGGCGGAGTTAGAAATGGATTTCTGCTCATTAATTTTATCAATTCTAAAGCCTCGCTTCACTAGAAAATGGTTTCACTTAAAAATTTGTTATCATGTAAAAAATCATAAGAAATTCAATCAGGAATATAATGAGAGCTGCTGTAAGAATATATTTACATAAATCATCAGTGGAATGTAATCTTACTTTCAAAAGATTTTTGGAATTTTAAGTTAAGTTCGACTCCAAATATTGCTTTAATATCGTTTTTTCTAAATATAGTTTTTTGTAAGGTAGCTTTGGTTTCTGCTGTAATTCTAGTTTTCATATAAAGAAATTTTCCGCAACATCAAAGCTATAACTAACTCAACTCTAGGATTCATTAAGAACCGAGCCATTTTGCGGCAACTCTTTACCTAACCCAGAGATGACGACACATAGGTTGTTATAGCTGACGTTATCGGTAACATATGTACGTTGATTTCACCAGAAACACCAAATCGAACTGAAAAAATAGAAAATTTAGGAGTTTTTTGACGGATATACAGCTCTATTGACGTCTACACATGTTATATCAGTTATGAAATCAAGCTTGTAGTGGGAATATCGAAATACAATGTCAAAATTGCAACAAACTTCTTGATGAATACACTCGCTGTCATGCACTAACTTAGTTAGACGCAATATTAAAAAAGTAAAATGACAATTCCACAAAAAAGTTCATTTGCACCAATAAAAGCATTGGCAGCAAACAATAAAGCAAATAGTTTTTCTTTTTTCTGTTTTCTGTTTTGTACTTGCCCGATTTTTTCGACGATTTCCCCTGCCACTGTACTCTGTATGCATTTCACTTCATTGTGTACATTTAACGGCATTGATAGGCTGTCAACGGAATCGTAACAGTATTGAGTGTGAGTGCAATTGTTGACAGTAGTCCTGTTGGCCACCTGTTGTCCTGACTGCAATTTGTGTGGCATGACGATATGTAATATGGATGGAAGGCTTGCGTTTTTCGTGATGCCGATGATTCTAAAAAAAAAAAAGAAATTTTTTTCTTGTGTCTGTGGCATTGTTCGACAATATGTTGCATGCATTTTGCATTTACCCCATGCGAGCAGTTGGAGACAATTTAGGGTGAATTAAAAAGATACATGTTTGACTAACGGATTTGTGATGCAAATTTACAAATGAATCGCATGTAAATTGGCGTGGGCAGATGAAATGACAAATATTGAATTTTCTCATTAGTAGGAGGCAAAACTTGTGCATTAAGTAGCAATACATAATTTGGTTACTATTATTCTCCTTCTTTACTGGCGTAGCCACCGCTATGGTCGAATTAATAAAAGAACGTCAGTCATTTCTTTTCTTCACTATTCAGCGTCAATTCAAGATACCGCTGACCTTTCCAACGAAGAAGGTCTTTATCCTCTGCTGCCACCATGGGTACTGAATCGAAAACTTTCAACTTTTGGTCTTGCTCAACGCCCTATTAGATTTGCGGGGATGCCAAGTTCAGACAGAGCGGCATTGAGGCAGTTGCTTTCGTGCTGTCGAAGGCGAAGAGGAGCTGTCTGTCGATCTTCCTTTGACGGGTTTTTACCAAGATTTTGCGCATGATGAAAATCTGGTCGGTGGTAGCTTTTTCGGGTCTAAAGCCAGATTAATAAGTTCCAATCAGTTTGATGACGACGGAATTCAGTCTTTCACACATGCATATATTCCTACAAATCATCAGCGTCGTAATACCAAAATATACAGAAAGAAGCTTAATGCGTGTAAAGTTTGTGCCTTCATATGCATCCTCGTTAAAAAAAAAACAACCTATCGCAGGGAGTGTTCAACTGTAACAGGATAAGGATAATCAGCACAATAGCTTCATTAAATTATATAGCATACAAAGAGCAATATTACAAATTACTTCAATAATAAAAATAACAAAAACACTGACTGTCGACAGAATGGCAAAACGACATTTGCGGACAGACAACAATCAGCCGGACAATAAAAGAGACGCTGACGACGACAACAGCAGTTTATTCTGACCAATAGACACCCACATAAATAACGGTATAGAGGTTGCAATGAATCGTCGCACCCCCCCCACCACAAAATGTATATGGCAGTTAACAACTTTATAGGCAAAACAATTTTATGGATTTAATAGCCAATGTCCTGTCGCGTTGCCAACTCAAAGCAGAAGATCGGGTGGGCCTTCTATTGTTCTCATTTGGAAGCTCTAGTATTTAAAAGCGGCTATAGACGATGATAGTTTGCTTATCTGATTTGGAGTTGGGAGCTTGGAGTAAAAACTTTAGTCGAGGCTACTTGGATGGCATTTGGTATGTGCGGTGTGGGAAGAATTCTATTATACTCGTATTTCAGAGTGGAGTTGTTACTTTTCATAATCTTGAGCTCCCGCATGTTATGATATTGGGAGCTGTGACCATTTGGATCCAGAAAGTCGTGTGAACGTGAATAGTAGACCTGTTATATTTCTTTATGAATAGTTACGATTTGGAAAAAGAGCGTCAGGTTTAAGTGGTCGGCCTTTATCGTGAATCACACTATATTCTTTGGAGGTTTAAATATTCTTTAATTATTCAAAATCTTGAGGCTAAATTTATAAACTACCAATTACCTATTTTCCGATGGAAACCCTCGAAATAATTTTGCCTCAACTTCCTTTTCCATTTACTTTGGAATCCTCTTTTCGCAAACTAATTCTATATATGTATGGATTTATTTACTTATATAACATATGTATATATGTATGTATGGTTATATGGTTATATGAAGTGGGAAGTGCTAGACACTTTTACACTATCACACATGTCCTTTTGTCCAGTCATCAAATCGCCACGTACAGTTAGTGGGCGTGTTGAATACCAAGAGTATTAACATAATTTATGTGGTTGCAAGACCAAAAACCAGATAAACGCATACCTACATAGGTATGCTGGGGTACATAACCTAGTAGGAAAACATAGACATGACTACGGATTGCTCTACTGATACTCACAAAGCACTGAATGTTGTAGCGATGGGTCTCCTAGAAACAGACAGCGCCTGATCAACTTCATAGCCACTTCCTAGGAACCTATTATGAACGGAGCACAAAGCTCTATAAGTAATACGTTTCCTTATCAAAAACGTGTTGTAAAAACAGGCACTTGATGTCATTCAAAAATATGCACTCATCATCACGTTCATCAATTTTCTTCCTTTGAACGCTGTTCCAAAAGAGTCGAATCGGACGGACGTACTCTACATTCGAATCGTAAAATTAAAGTAAAGTGAAAGACGAGATGTTTAAACCTTAATCTCGTTATGCGACACATTCAAGGAAAAAGAGCTACGACTATTTCACCTTCACATATTTCTAGAGCATAAATTGATTCCGAATATTGTAACAGAATAAACGCCTACCTATCCAGACCTCACCTCACCAATTTGATGTGGTTCGATCTCGTAGAAAAAACTCCTTTTCTAAGTTTACCATTTGATAATAGCAACAAAAAGTTGTAACTCCTACGGCTGGGAAGAGTCAAAATTACTAACACTGAAATACCAATAACATAAGCTTATTGGCGGGGTATAGAACAGCTTAATAAAGTCATTTCATTTGACATTTAAAACCCAATAGCGTGTCCTACAGGGTCACTTCTACAAATAGTCAGTTTAGTTGTCTCAGAGGCGACCAATACAGACCGAGATAGTTGTAAGACCTCGTCAAAACAACAAACCGTTACCACCCACTTTCTCCATTTATTTTCGCAACATCAATGTGCTAGCGTGTGTATATCCACTCATTGGACGCGCAGTTTGTTCAATTTTCCATTTGTTTATGTGTAAGTAAATAAGTATATTTGAATTTTTGCTTATTTCGATAAAAGTTTTCGGTCAAGTTGGTGCTTTTTAATGCTTTGTGGTTTTTATTGTTTTTATGGTAACGGCGTTGAGGATTAGTAGCGACGGCTGCCGATGCTGCACAACTCGAACTTGGAGGAACTGGTGTGGAACTGCAGCTTGTGGTAAATGTGTTTTGGCTACGGCTTTTGTTTGATATTTGATTTGATTTCAGTTTTATTTTCTGTTGATTTTGCATATTTTTTTAATTAAGTACGAAAAGTAAACGCGCTGCGGATACAATAAATTAAAGTCGGATTCTAGCAACGAGATTTGGTTTCGATTTGGGGTGTATGGAAAAAGTTTGTGCCAACTGTATTTTTAGTATTTTTGTAACCAAATGAATGTATATATGTTCCAATACATAAGAGGTTAGATATGCTTGCCGCCTGCAAGTGTATGCAAAACACGTGCACAAAGAAAACAATCTCCAAATTTATGTTGAATATACCTAATCTTGAAACAATTTTTCAAGCTTTCACATTCCTCACCAACATTTGATTGTTGTATTGACTGAGGCGCGTTGTCGAAACCAACAGTTTTTGCCTTGGTTTTTTGTTGTTGCCAAAACTCCTGATGAAGGATGTGGCCCTACTACAAACTAGAACGCACCTAC